GGGGGTAATAGGACTTAGGGCTCGCGATTGGATACAGCGCTTTTTTCAAAGTGGCAGACTCTTCCGTTACAGCGTCGTGAACGTGGACTCTTAACGGTTCATCCCTTGCATGATGAGGTGCATTTCCACCATGGTCACTGATTTGTGTGTTTTTACTTGCCCTGTGGTGCGTTTACAATTGAGTAATGCGAGTCTATAGAGTATATAATGCGAAAAAACTGTTGTTGCACGCACACATTGCGAGGCTTTTTTCATGAGCATAAGATTCGATATTATTCAATGATCCGTGATGTTCACACTGACCAGTGGGATGATTCGTCTGTGGAGCTCCTTGCCTGCTTAATGTTTTGCTCCCAAACACCTGGTTTGCTTGGCAAACTTAAAAATATAATTACTGGTTTTGCCATGTATGTTTCAATTGGCCTCCTGCTGTCACAAGACACAGCACCTTTCATTGATAATTTCACAGTGAATGGGGGAACTTCACATTGCATCCGAGAATATCACTGGAATGTAACTTGAAATAACTTTTTCCGAGTCTGATAAATTTTACCTTTTTATTCACAAAGCAAAACTTTAAATATCTCCGATGTGTTTTGGATCTTTCCCCGTGTGTTTTATTTATTCTTTGGTTCTTTCGGTTAAGTCACGTCTAAAAATAAAATAATAAATTAAAATAATAGCGACGTTTCGATTGCAACACAAGCAATCATCATCAGGCATAAAAGAAATAGCAATAAAAATCGAAGAAGAAAACTATAGACAGACATAAGCAGTCTGTCTATAGACAGACATAAGCAGTCTGTCTATAGTTTTCTATTTCGATTTTTATTGCTATTTCTTTTATGCCTGATGGTGATTGCTTGTGTTGCAATCGAAACGTCGCTATTATTTTAATTTATTATTTTATTTTTAGACGTGACTTAACCGAAAGAACCAAAGAATAATTCCTGCAGTCACGAAAGCTCCAAATTAAGATTGTTTTTATTTATTTTCGGCATGGTATCCGATGTTGTATTCCCATGTCCTGCGAACTTCTTCAGGAGAATTCAAGCAACGTAGTTAAATAACTTGCGTCATTCCATACCGAAACAACATGCCGCACAGCCTCAAAACACATCGGAGAACTCTACGGCACCACCGTGGAAACCTACAAGGTGTAGCACACCTTGTTACAATTCCTGCAGTGGGTGTTGGTCACTTTGCAATTGAAACCACAATTTGTTATTCCTAATATCTGAAATCTAACCAATTAAGTGGCAAACCGAATGTAAATTTTTTTTTTCTGCAGTCATTAGTAATTAGCCTGAGACCATGAACTTGATAAGTATAATTTCAGGTGGCTGAAACTTAGCCTCTTAGTGGTGCCGGCATGGCACTGTGAATCCTCTGCCACCTGGACACCTCTAAAAAGGGTGCTCTGGACTGTAGACAGACTGACCGGTCTATAATGGGGCCCCTAGACAATAGACTGACTGACCTGTCTGATGGGTCCCCTAGACAATAGATTGACTGACCAAGTGTCTGATGGGGGCCCCCTAGACAATAGACTGGCTGACCGGTCTCTGATGGGGCCCCCTCAACAATTGAATAACAAACTGGATTCTGATGAGGTTCCTAGACATTTTACGATAGGCATGACTCTGCTGTTACATTTGGACAAAAGACTGAGAAATCTGTTTCTGATGTGTGTCTCTAGAGGACCATGATAACAGACCGGTTTAAGATGAGGTCTTTAGGCAAGAGAATGATGAACTGGTCTCCGAGGGGGTGTATACAATAATAATAATAGACAGACTGATCTATGATGGACTCTTTTGACAATAATTATCTACAGGCAGC